GCCGAGGTACCTGATAGAGAATAGTATAGCGATTTTCTAAGCCCGGCTTAGATGTGGCACAAGGCCGAAATTATAGGGCACCCAGCGAGGATCGAACTCACTACTCAGTCGTACTTGATCTAGCAAGACAAGCTTTCTAACCATTACACCACACTATGATTTTCCATTACACCACACTATGATTTTCCAAGCGTAGCTTAGATATGGCACAAGGCCGAAAGGGTGAGGCACCCACTGAGAATCGAACTCACTACTCAGTCGTAACTGTTTTAGCGAGACAAGCTAGCTAACCATTACACCACGCCACGCCGAGGTGCCTGATAGAGAATAGTATAGTGATTTTCCAAGCGTAGCTTGGATGTGGCACAAGGCCGAAAGTAAGAGGCACCCAGTGAGGATCGAACTCACTACTCAGTCGTAATTGTTCTAGCCAGCCAAGCTTGCTAACCATTACACCACGCCGAGGTGCCTGATAGAGAATAGATTAGAAATGGTGATCAATTAGACTCCACTTTATATACATTTCCTTTAACACCACGTGATCTATTTATTCAAAATGGGATCGCCTTTGTTTGCTCTCTGGTGATCTGTGTTCAAACTCCAGTGTCGGCAGCGACACTTTATTCCTGTATAACAAATGCATTCTGTTTTCTTGCAGTTGATGTTTAGTCTTTTCTTCTTGCTTTACGTTAATCACCTTCTTAAGGCGCACTTGTAGCATCCTTTCCGTGTCTACTATCAACACTGTGTCACCGTCATATCCTATGTTGTTAAGATTGTTCTCACCAATAACAACTTCTGATATAGGATTTCTAATTCTATCAGAATCATCTGACTCTACTAATTGGTTGAATAGTGATTTTCCAAGCGTGCCTTGGATGCGGCACAAAGCCGAATGTATGAGGCACCCAGTGAGGAACGAACTCACTATTCAGTTGTAATTCTTCTAGCGAGACAAGCTCGCCAACCATTACACCGCCTAGGGGCTCCCACGAATAGGTTGAATAAGTCCGGTGAGAAGAAACTTTGTCTTACAACTATTTCTAATTTTGTATATTTACTGATTCATTTTCTATGCGTATGCGGGTTATCCCCAACCCCCGACTAAAAGAGAAGTGTCCCTCTCCAATCCAGAAGTACAACCGAAAAACATTATACTCTGCCTTTGATTGGATATGAAGAGTGTCGTCTCTGATGAAGTGCTAAAGAAAAATAAAACGGCTCACAGAGGATAAATATTTATGTCAGTTGGAAACATAGTAGAAAAATTTGCGGAATAAACACTCATCATTGGTTAATCACAGGGGCGTGTTGCTCTTACATAACGATATAAGGACAAAACGTCTCTATGATTAACCAATCAATGGAAAGATGCAGAGTAAATATAACGGCTTTTTACACAAGTCGACAATTTCACTCCTTTCTTTCATCCTGAGAAACACCTGCTTAGCGGAAAAAAAATTAATTAACGATTTATTGTTTAAGGATACACACAAATACAAGCAGGCATATCTCTTTCTTTCGTTTTGGTATCTGATGAGGCCTAGAAAGGCGAAACGTGTAATCAAATCTAGTTTCAATTGTTATAGTGGAACACACCTATTCTATAGTTAATAGACTCTCCCACCTATAATAAGTAGGAGTAGTAAGAGTAACGAGGGAGTCGCTCAGTGGTTCGGTCAGTCAGTCGATGTCGGACGACAGTTAGTCGAATACTAAAGTATCAGCGACCACAACTAGATTACTCTGCGTTATACCGATTATATCAAGTTCCTAACGTTTTGTACGTCGAACCTATTTTAGGACCGACTTAGTACAAATACAAGCCTCCACTGTGAAATCACTCCACAACAATAATAAAACAGTTTTCCATTTGTCATATTCTTCAAACTTTGTCTGGATTCTGTATCCTATTTGATACAAATGATAATGTAAGATCACATATTATTCGAGTCACTCAGGAAAAGATTATAGCAGTAGATAAGAAAGTCTTGCCTTGTATTCCTCTAGTTACCCAACCTGGCTCCATCTGATTATCATCTTTTCGGTTCATTGCCAAATCTTTAGATGGAAAAAAAAGTTTATTCATGGTGAAGAGGTTAAAAATCATATCGAGTGCTTCTTTGTACTGAAACCTGAAGAATTTTATTCTCGGTGGATCAACAATTTGCCAAATACATGGGTTTCTATTATTGATAACGAGAGAAAATATGATCACCAATAAAGATATCAATTAATTGCAAAGAAGCATGTGTTTCTTTTACATCTTTAAATGGCGCATGACAATCTTCCTAGCCGATTAAATGAGTTTTTAAATGCTATGAATTCGAATAAGACATTAAGAAAATAGAAAATTATCAAAGATACTTAAATACGCTTACAACAATCCTCTCTTTCATCTGAGTATCTTGTTGAAATAATAGTTGCCAATGGAGTTGAAAGTTTTTACTAGCATGTATCAAATCAATAGCTTTTGATTATCCATTGTACAATAGCTGGGAGCGTGCTGATTTTACACTGTTCGGTCCTCAATGAAGATGGCCCGGTGCCAACGTTAGATTAAATCAACAAACAAACGTTTAAAGAAAAAGAGAATATTGCGCCCCGTCGTTGTGGCTCTCTTCCAAACAAAGCCTGAATCTTACTTTCTCAAAATCAAAACAAAACAAAAAAGAAGTAAAAAAAAAAAAGAAGAAAAACGATGATAATTTTGGACTGCCGAACCAACGATATCGATGGAACTTCTATTAGCAAAGAAGAACTTTTAATGTAAAGGACATTTTCTTTTCATAAATATAGCTGCAAAAATCTGGAATACGTCTGATAACCCTTAAGTCTCATATAACGGAAAATAAACAATTTCTCTCTCTCTCTCTCTCTCTCTCTCTCTCTCTCACACACACACTATCTATCTATTTATCTATCTGGTTTTGTTCATTATCTATCTATCTATCTATGTTTGTTCATTATCTATCTATCTATGTTTGTTCATTATCTATCTATCTATCTATCTATCTATCTATCTATCTATCTATCTATGTTTGTTCATTATCTATCTATCAGGGTCTGTTCATTATCTATCTATCTATCTATCTATCTATCTATCTATCTATCTATCTAGGTTTGTCCATGATCTATCTATCTATCTATCTATCTATCTATCTATCTATCTATCTATCTGGGCCTGTTCCTTATCTATCTATCTATCTATCTATATCTCTCTCTCTCTCTCTCTCTCTCTCTCTCTCTCTCTCTCTCTCTCTCTCTCTATCTATCTATCTATCTATGCGTACGAAATTCGTCATCAGTGGGTCAGTTTTGCTTACTCGGAAATTGTGATCGTTAAAATGCAGCAAATGCTGTCGGAAGATACAATAATATTTTCCCGATCAAAATTCGCGTCTTTCTTTTGATCTCTTATTCTAAGGAGTCTTGGCGAGCGATTTTATTCTTTGAAAATACCTCTCGCTGCCACTGAGAGCCCCCCCACTGTCTTCTATCAGTATAGCTGATGCTAACCTCCAGGCAAGTGATTCGTTGCGCCTTCTCGGTCTCGCGTTCACTGCTGATATGGAGTGAAAAGGCTATATTGAATCCATTGCTAGGTCAGCTGTTAAGAAAATCTGTTCATTATGTCGGACGAGACACTTTTTCTCTCCAGAATCTATCTTACATATCTATAAGTCCACCATCCGTTCATGCTTAGAATATTGCAGCCACATATGCTCCAGTTTCCCTGCTATTTAACTTGAGCTCCTTGATAAGATCCAAAGAAGAATCAACAATTTTATTGTTCCTGATTCTGCGTATCCTGATCCTATGTATTTTCTATAAGTACTTTCATCGGAATTGTTTGAGCTAGAGTTTTTGAATTTAAGCGCAGCACTAGACTGGCGTCTAGATCTCGTGATTTTACACTTGAGCTGGCTAGATGTAGCCGTAAATGCCATGCTAGCAGTTTCTTTTGCATTTCTCGCTTGTGGAACTCTCTTCCGGCTCCATGCTTTCCAGCCAACTATAGTTTAAAAAATTTTAAATGTAATGTCAATCGCTATCTACTGTCCTACTGATTACTCTCTTCTCTTTCTGCCCATCATTATTGTTTCTGTTGATAATTCTTTCACACACTGTAACCTCTTGTGCTTTAGTGGTATTACTATCTTGCTTGAGGTGATACCGATTACAAAAAGATGTAAGTTTTAGTGTTTTAATATTTCATTTAACTTGGACAGTTTTGCGTTTCTTATTATAAAAACAAACAAAATACATTACGATACTACTTAAAAATCAAAGATTGTGTTTCTTTTTCGATTATTTAAGTTGGTTATGAATTGAGTGATTGATTCCTTTTCTACGTCTTATCAATCTCTTACAGGTTACTTTAAATCCAAAAAAATATGTTTTTTAGATTGTAAATTTTTTTCTTTCGGGTGTAATAATAATTTAATGATACAAGTCTTGCTAATTAACCCATAGCTGGGGAGATAAGAGCTGGATTCATAAATTTCCCAAGGGTATTTGCGCGTAACGAATAGGACTTCAATTAGAACTCGGCTCTTCGATTAATAATTTTAAGCCGTTATCCATTACACCACCCGCACATCCAAGCTAACAGCACCTGCCATTCTCAAGCGGTTATCCATCTATCTCCTGTCAGACACAACGTTGATCATACGGGAAACGGTGTTTCAAAATGATATGTCCATAAACTTCGTTACAAGTTGATTTATTGATTCGTTGTCAAGGTTTATCAACCCGTTTCAGATTATTTAAAGCCAGAAAATATTTTTTTTAGATTTTAAGAATATTTTTTTGTGCGTTGAGATAATAATGATTTAAGTGATAAAAGGATTTCTAATTAACCCATAGCTGAGGGGAGAAGTGGTAGGATTCATACCTTTCCCAAGGGTATGCGCGTAACGAACCCAACTGGAATTAGAACTCGGCTCTTCGATTAAAAATTCCGAGCTATTATCCATGGCACCACACTCATATCCAAGCTTACAGCATCTGGTATTCCCAAGCGGTCACCCATCTAGATATTGACCAGGCTCGACGTTGCTTACCTTGGATGATCACACGGGAACAGCGTTTCAACGTGATATGGCCGTAGACTTATAAATTGACTAGGTGCGCAAAAATAGAAAGACGCGTACGACAAGGATGTATCCTACGGGATTTATTCAAATTCTGTAGAGAGCTGGAGACGTAGCCGGGATTTATTATTGGTGGGCATAATATTAGCGACATATGATACGCAGGTGAGACTGTGTTGATGGCAAACAAAGAACCAAAACTACCATGACTCCCTAGACCAGGGTTTTTCAAACTGTGGTCTGCGGACCACAGGGGATCCGCAAGGACATGACAGGCGGTCCGTGGACAGCAAAGACTTTTTTATGGGTGACGTGCAACTTATAAGCGCTTATAAGTAACTTATAGGCCGATCATGAAATAAATTGATTCAATAAACTATTTCATAGATTTGATATACTAATATCTATATCTTAAATTGATAAAGATAATGGATTCTATTCATGCAGAGAAGGAACCAAAGGATTTGAATTTTGGATCTATTTTGCGATTTCCGGCTTTCTCATTGGCTGTTGGGCGTCACGTGTGATGAAAGTAACTTACGTGTATGTTTACCAGTAATATCGCCAAAAATTGACAGCTTGTGCAAAGCCAAACAAGCACATCTTTCTCACTAAGTGTGTATTAAAAAATCCCGTGTGTGTAATTGACAATAAAACTATTTGTTAAATACTATTACTGTTTTCATTTACATGTAAAATTAATATTTTAACATATCAAAATTTAATTTTGTTACATTTTGCAGCAACATGCCGCATTAATTTATTTGAACACTTATGTCTAAAGTAAGCTTTAAACCAGCTTTTATTGCATTAATGCAAAATTATATGTTATATTCAGCAAATATTTATGTATAAATTTCATAAGCGTTTATAAGGGGGTCCCCAAGGTAAAGCCTGAAATATAAAGGGGTCCGCAAGTCAAAACGTTTGAAAACCCCTACCCTAGACAATTTCGAAGAAAAAAAAAAGACTAAACAATTATCAAAGACACTGTATATCTGTCAGCGAGAGAAAGAGTCTCATGATGCGAACTATGAAATGGAGACGTTTAAATGTCTGGGAAGTGTTTTAACAGAGGATAGAAATTTTGACAACGAAATCTGAAGATGCCTTCCAAAAACTAAGCAAAGAAAATGCTGAACCGCTGTGTAATATCAAACCTTCTGTATGGAAGTTGACACCGGACAATATTCTCACTGATGAAGAGAAGACTAGAGGCAACAGAAATATTGATCTACAGAAAGATGCTGAGAACAGGCTGACAATTTTTTTTTTTCACAGGCTGAAAATACGACCCCCTCGGGCTTTAAGCAAATGGAAACAAAACGATTCTCATATTTAAAATAAAGAGACAGTTGACATTTCTGTGATGCATCATGAGGAAGGTGGGCTGGGAAATTTTGATACTCACGGTATACAATGAAATCTAAATGGACATGGGATGGCATTCAATCACCTACGTGAGAAACTTATACGAATAGATGTTAAAACGTAGAGAGAAAGAGAGGGATGGTATAAAAATAGAGCATAGAAAAACTTATCTCCATGTCATGAATAAGCACTGCATATAGGTCATCACATAAGTTCTGTCCGAATTTTAACTTTTTGCTAAAATGAACGAAATTTAAAGAATATTTTAAGTCTAATGGAGCTGAACATTATTTTTATGTTTAGATGTATTTAAACTGATCAAATTTTATTTCAGAGAAGATTAAAATTACATTTTGTTTGATTAAAACCCTGCTAACATGGAATTACCCAAGAATCATTTGAGGCACATAATGCTTTATGAGTTCAAGAAAGGAAACTCAGCAGCCGAAGCGGCTAGAAACATTCACTCAGTTTATGGAGAGGAATGTGTGAATGAAAGAACTTGCAGAAGATGGTTTGGAAAATTCAGAGGTGGAGATTTCACCCTTGAAGATGAAGATCAAACCCGACGTCCAGTTGCGTTTGATGAAAAGCTTCTTGAAGCAGCCCTTAAAGAAAATCATGCTTTATCATTTGAGGAATTGGCAGTGGTTCTCATTTCAAACCATACAACTGTTCATCGTCATCTTCAACAACTTGGAAAAGTTCCTAAACTTGGAAAATGTTTTCCTCATGAATTGTCTGAAAACAACCTCAAATCTCGAGTTGACATCTGCTCTTCTCTCCATTCTCGCCAACTTGTTTCACCTTTTTTGGACTTGTGACTGGCGACGAAAAATGGATCTTTTATCGAAATGTTAAGCGTCGTAGACAGTAGCTTGGTAAAGGGGAAGGACCCCAGCCACAGCCGAGAAGGGAACTTCATGGGCAAAAGTTTCTTCTTTTAATCTGGTGGGATCGCCAAGGAACAATCCACTTTGAATTCTTACCACCTAATGCAACAATTAATGCTCAAATATACTGTCAGCAATTAGATCGTTTGAACCAAGCTTTGAGGAAAAAAAGACCTGCTCTAGTGAATCGAAAAGAGGTGATGTTTCATCAGGACAATGCGCGAACCCACACAGCTAGAATCACGTCGCAAAAGATCGAAGAACTTGGTTGGGAGAAAATTCCTCATCCACCTTATTCTCCCGATCTTGCTCCTTCAGACTACCATTTGTTTCGTAGCTTACAGAATCATTTGGAAGAAACAGCTTTTGTAATATAGGAAGAGGTTAAAACTGACATTTGTGAGTTCTTCGAATCAAAGCCAAAAGAATTTTACAGTAATGGAATTAGTAAGCTTATTAATAGATGGAAGGAAGTCATAGATAATCAGGGAAAATTCTTGATTTAATCTGTAATTAAATGTAACATTTGGTCACTTTCTTTATTCAGAATTCGGACAGAACTTATGGGATGACCTGATTGAATAATAATAATAATAATCATAATAATAATAATAATAATAATAATAATAATAAATGGTATGAACACCACCCAGATTCGGTTAAACAGATAGGACCTGTTACAATTCTATGGGACTACACAATACACACTGACAGAACAATCAAAGCCAACCGCCCAGATATTGTTATTAAGGAGCACAAAACAAAAAAAGTTCCTCCTTATTGATATGGCTGTCTCTGCTGACTGCAATGTATCTTTGAAGATATTCAAAAAGCTGTCAAAATACAAGGACCTTGAAATAGAAATCTCGAAAATGTGGCATATGGGAACATCAACAATCCCTGTTGTAGTTGGAACCCTAGGACTGGTTGGAAAAGATTCCAGTAGACTAATTGAAGGGATTCCTGGAAGTCCTTGCCTCAAGGAGATACAAAAAATTGTTCTAACAAGTACAGCCCACACTTTACGAAGGGCTTTATCTATTTAATTTTTTTTTTTTGTCAGTGGAATGTGTCATGATACCATTTCTAACCTTAGGTCCCTGGGCGGGAGCCGGAAAGAAATGTGTAAACGCTAGAAATCAAAGAAAATAATAATGATAATGATAATAATAATAATAATAATAATAATAATAATAATAATTTAATGAGAAATCAACACTAGTTGGGATATTTTGTCATATGTTTTTATTATTATACCTGAGTCGAAATATAAACATTAGGCTGCTTTATAATTGAGTGAGAAGATAAATATTTGTTAGGATTATACTTGAGTCTATAGGTAAATACTAGTTATGCTTATATTTGATCTAAAGGGTTTGCTTTATACTTATTTCAAAAAAAAAAAAATAGACGGTTTTATATTAGAGTCAAAAGGAAACTGTTGGTCCGTTTTATATTAAAGTCAAAACCTAAACACTGACCCGGTTTCTATTGTAAACATTAGTTTTGTTTATGATTGAATCAAAAAGTAAATATTCTTCATGTTTTAAATTAAAATGTAATCATTGGTTCAGCTTATTTTGAATTAAGCGGGTAATACTGGTATTCAAGTTCAAAGATCAAAATAAATGTTTATACCGGAAGGTAAACATCGATCCATTTTACACTTGAGTGTGCTTGGATCAAACAGAAGGTATCAATTTTGGCTGAGTCATGACCCTTTGAAAAGGATATAATCGATGAATTCTAAGCCCTGGCGATAGCAGAAGGTTGCTTTAGTTATCAATTCAAGTATTATTCATTAAAAACAACTTTTTCTTTTCAGTCAACCTCATTTGCTCAGCTTAAGGCCACGAGTACTGGACAACCAGTAAGGATAGAACTCACTACTAAATAGTAAGAGTCAACCAGCACGTTAACCCCTGTCTCACGACGAGAAATAGTTTGGTTTTGCCGGAGAAATCAAGAAAATAATAAGGCCCAGATTCTCGTTGAAATTATTTTATTGCTTACACTATTTACAGTCTTCGGATTTTTATCCTCATTTTTGTTGCCATATTCATGTTTCGGCCGTTCTATGCTCTGGCCGTCTTCCAATTTCGAAGTGAACCTTTTATTTCGTCCACTGCGGTAGAATTTTCTAGTTCCACGTGTCATGCTTCTCCGGATATTTCTATATGAGTTTTTTCTTGTTAACTCTACAAAGTTTTTGTTCACCTCTGCTGTAGCCAGGTATTGAACTCACAACTCTTTGGGTTAAGTCACTGGATTACTTCAACCTACGCTTTTTATCCCCTGGGTCATGTGTCTTTGAGAACAACAGTATAAGAGCTTTTGGGATTTATAAACCTAATTCTTAGTAATCATTTTTTTAACAGAGCTCATATTGCGATTTTGTTGTTGCTATTATTTTTTCTAGCACTCCGTATTACTGATTCCCATATTGAATCGAGTCAACTCTCTGCTTTGCCCTTCGGCAAAGCTTCGTCGGGGGAGGTAGACAGGCTAGGTTCAAAGGGTATATTTTTGGCCAAGCCTACAGGCTCGTAGAAAACCACGTTAAACTCGGCCTTGTGCCACATACATTCCTCGTGGGGGGACTGTTAAATATCGGTATTGAATCGAGTCGAGCTGATAGTAGTTCACTTCAAACCAGTCTGACAGTCATACCAACTTCCACTTCTTTGTATTATTTTTCGTATAATATATTCTTTGTTATTTCTACTCTTGTGTTCCGTGTTGTTCTTCCATGG